GCATTGCCTCGTCCCTGCCTGTCCGTTGTATCGGACTCGTAAGTAGCAAACTATTTTCAATTATAACTCGAAAACTAAGCTTCGGACAAAATTTTGTAAAAGGAAAAATCGTCTCAGAATTCGCTCAAGAATATGGCATTGCAAGGACATCAGGTTATTTTGAATCACCCTGTATATAAAATCAAAAAAATTTATTTGAATTTGACTGATTCCACCGTGTATTTTTATTGTAGGCAACGGACATGGTAGACGACATACAAAAGGAAGTCGAGTATCAGATTAAAGAATCAGATTGGATGGACGAATATACCAAGGACTTTGTTTTATCAAAATTAGTGAATATGAAAAAATTCATTGGATATCCAGATTGGTATAAAAATAGCACTATCGTCAAACGATACTTTCAAGGAGTAAGTTCCTAAAAAATTGTTGATATAATTGCTATTGATATTTGTTGTATTTAATTATTCTGTTTTTAAGCTCATGATCGGCAATTCGTATTACGAGAATACACTCAGCTACAGCAGATACATTAGATGGAAAGGACTACGAATATTAACAAAAGACGAAGATGATGATGAAACGTGAGTTATTTAATATTTAATCCTTATTAACTCAAAAGCCTAAAAACGTCCTAAATAAGACATTTTATTAAAGATATTTTTAGGACGTCTTTAAGATGTCCTTTTTAAAACGTTTTTAAGATAATCTTTTTTTTTAATTTGTTAGGATGTCTTTATGATATCTTTTTTAAATATTTTTTTCCACGAAATAAATTATCTAAATTTACAGATGGTGGATGAGTCCTTTGACTGTAAATGCCTTTTTCGCCCCAAATGAAAACAGTATAGGTAGTTAATTTCTTTTAGTGAAATTAAATTTTTATATTAAAATTTCCACAGATTTGCATTTATTTATTTTGTTATTAACATTTCTTTCACTGGCAGCTATTTCGGCAGCGGATTTCCAGAGTCCATTTTTCGCTTACAGCCGACCACAGTAAGTGAATATTTTCGAAAAAATTAATGCGACGTGATCAGCGATTTTTATGTAAAATTACATCATCTAAATTTTATATTAGCATAACTTTAAAGATGTAATTTTTATTGCAGAGCTATTAATTATGGTATTATTGGGTTTGTCATGGCTCACGAAGTTAATCATGGATTTGACGACACTGGTAAGTTATAAAATATAATATCTTTACCGAACTCTATTTATCGCGTTATATTATAGTATTTAATTTCTTCAAAAATATTGAAATTTATTTGTTATGAAATTTATTACTTTATTCCAAAATTAGATATTTAATATAAGAAATAGAAAAAGAGAAATAATTTTTAGGACATTTGTACGATAAGAACGGTGATTTTGTGGAATGGCTGTCTGTGATGGCTGAAGCATATGGTCAAAGGGCAAATTGCTTTGTGGAACAATTTAATAATTATCCCGTCGATGTAAAATCAAAAAAGAAAATAAAGGTGTGTGTTGGCCTACTTTACATTACCGTTATTTTTCGTACATTTCTGAAAACGTTCGGTCATGTTTATTGACGAAAATTGTAGAACTATGGCAACCAAACAATAGGTGACAATATCGCGGACACAATGGGATTATACACAGTATATAGAGCTTATCTGAGGAGGGAAAGGGAGTGCGGAAAACCGGACACCGTATTACCAGGTTTAGAAGAATTGACCAATGATCAACTTTTCTTCTTATCTTTTGCCAATGTGAGCATTATTTTAACAAAAAATTATAACAGTTGGGCTAAGAAGATAAGGATAATAATTAAATTAAAAATTTATAATATTTACAGTTATGGTGCGAAGCTAGTGATCCAGAAAAGGCTATGTGGAGGGTCAAAATGGACGAACACAGTACCGGACGGTTGAGGGTAATAGGATCTGTTTCAAACTCGGAAGACTTCGCCAAAGTTTATAATTGCCCGGTTGGCAGTGCGATGAATCCCGAAAGGAAGTGCAACATCTGGAAGTGATTTATAACAATATAATATTATCAAGCTTTTCTCGATTAAAGTTATTTAGTAAAATTTAATAAAATGACGCATATATTATAAAAAAAAGTCTCTCTTTGCATCCTTTCACTTCATTCGTTTCAGATTCTTTCGCAAATGTAGAGTCTTTAGCATAATCTCGTCGTAATTAATGAGCAATTTTATCGGAAAGTTTTATCTCTGTGCAATTACTACTGACAAGTGATAATTAATCAGGTGTGCACGGATTAAAGTCAGGTGAACAGCAAATACTAGCAAAAAGTTTTTATATTGATAAGTTGCAATATTTCATACATAACTCGTGGTCACTCTTTATAAAGAACCTTCAGATGTTTGAATAATGATATGTATGCCGGCAGAATCCTTATATTCTATAATTAACGCAATGCGTTGTGTTGGCGCGAAAGTAAACAGCATCGTCGCAGCTATTTTCGAAGTATTAAAACGCGAAATATATATACGTTTCTTCTGACGGTTAATTAACTTTCATATTTCCGTGTGTAACGGTATTCCGATAATTGAGATTATATTAGCTCAATCCATATATCGACGGAAACGTGAGCGAGTAATTAGATTATTTGTAGATACGAAAATTTGGATCAAAATCTCCGATGAACATTGTATTACGCCTAGTTCTCCGTAGGCATATGTGCTGCACAGGGCAGACATTTAACACATGATCAGACGGAAATCGAATACATATTTTGAGTGTAATACCGAATATCAGTTTTCATAAAATTACTGTCATCCGTTCTGTTTCTCGTGCACGCCGTTCTGCTTCTCCTGTGGCTTTAACGGCTTTATTACATCCACCTCATGCAGTTGGTTGATATCCAATTGCTGCTTCTTCTTCTTTTTCTTTGACGTTTTCCTGAGCAAAAATTGATTTAACGTTTTACTTCTCTCGTGTAAAAAAATTGCACGAGACAAACGGCACAGAACATGAAAGTTAAAAAGAACTCACTTTCCAAAGAGCTCCCCGTCTTGAATCGATTCGGGTAATTTTTTATTCAACGTTTCGGGAAGAAGAAGGGACATTAATCCGCCCAATAAGGCACTGGCTCCGAAAATAACGAGTGGTAATGGCGTCCATATCTCCGACTAAAACAATTAGATATAACGTGACAGTTTGAGGGCAGCTTTGCTATAGAGATCGGGAGAAGTGCGTAATAAATATTTTAACGTACTAGATGATTGACATATGGCGCGATTACTCCGCCAATTCGAGCAAAAGTAGAACTTGCTCCCAGTCCGACGTTTCGGATGACTGTTGGAAATTGCTCAGCGGTGAACACATAAATTGCGCCGTAAGAGGATGTGATAGCAAGTTTTCCTATCATCGCCAAGGTAACGATTAACCACGGTGTATCTGGAAAGAAAAGGCGAGAATAAATCTTTATTCGTAATAATTGCAAAATTTTTTTTAATGGATTTTCAGCACAATCTTAAGCGTTCATATATAAATTTAAAATTGAGCGCCATTAAGTTGCATTTACCGGCAGGAACAAATAATGTAGCGAGCAATGCCAATCCGGACAACATCATGCAGCCGCAAAGAATGATTTTCCTGCCCCATCGGTTCAGAGTGAAGATGAGGAACGTGTACGCTGGCACCTCCACTAATCCAGATATTACAAAATTAACGTAATCGTTACCGCCGAGGTTGGACGCGTGCCAAGAGAGTCCGTAGTACGTGCCGCTGTTGACGAGCCTGTGCAAACAATTGAATAAAATTCAATGCAAAAGGCCCGAGTGCTGCAAAGCAGAAATATCGAGGAGCCAATTGCGCGGAAGCGACTGTACCAGTTGAAAAACAAGAGAATGCTCTTCCGCCTTAAGTTCGGATAGCGGAACAGATCGAACAGCGAGGGCTTCCTCATATCAGGCTTGCTGTCCTCGCTGTTGTTGTTGAGAAGCGTGTCCAGAGTTTCGCTGGGCATCTCCACGCCGTTCTCCAGGGAAGCGCGTTGCAGCAAATCCTTTGCTTCCTGGTGGCGGCCCTTCGTCAGGAGCCATCGCGCGGATTCGGGAATGAACCTGTTCCGGAATTGGATCACCGTGTGAATCGTAACACCCACTGGAATTACGTACGTTACGTAGAACATCTAACATTAAGTCGTACCACCAATAAAGTAGAAACGCGATGCTCGGTACCGTAATGGCTATTTGCAGCATTCTCCAATCGGTAATGAAATAGGCGAAGCCGGCGGTAAGTATGTATCCGGTGGTGAAAAACAATTGGCAGCCCACTCCGGCTACCAATCGCTTTTTCGGCCCGACCATCTCCAAGGCTGGAAAGGTGGAAGTTTATTAATGCAGACCGGCGCCAGGTGCGTTTGCGCTTTTCTTTTCATTTGACGCGCCGCTCAAGCGAGTCCAATTACCTATAACGTAAGCTACCAGGAACACCCCACTAGTGGTCGAGCCGACGATCAGCCTGAAGATTACGTAGGAAATAAGCTCGGGCGCGACAGCGACTAGTACACCGCCGACCAGCTGTATGACTAAAGACAGGAAGAAAATTGGTCTACGACCATATTTATCGGACAAACCGCCGAATATCATCGAGCCAAGCATGACTCCTACCATGAACAACGCGTCCCCCGTCGCTCTCAGCCACGCCTTATCGCAGACCAAGTCCCACTGTGAAGAGAGGAAACCGTGTCATTCGTCGTCTATCGTTGAAACGCACATCTTTCAAATCGAATTCATGCCCATTCAATTTTCACTCGAGCCTAATTTACAGCAATCATCGAAGGAGGGGGGGGGGGAAATACTAAGGCAGCCTCACGACAGATAATTGCTACTCTGTACCTCGGAAGTGGTTGTGCTTTTGTACACGCTTCTGTCGTACACGTATTCCTTGCAACTGATCCCTTTCCCTGCGGCGCCGTCGCCGCCAATTGATCTCTCAACGATCGTGCCGTTCGCGGCGCCGGTAAGGTCAAGGCTCAGACATTGCGACCACCCTTGAAGCTCGGGGTCCCACGGGTAGCTCGCGTTTAATACGTCCTGGCTCAGCTGGAATGTCGCGTTCATCGCGAATTCGTGCGGCAGTAAACACCTGAGACAAGGAGAGTTGTTCGATTTATCGTAAATTCCTCGTTACATTTCGCCGTTATGTAATTGCACTTTCACGATGTGAAAAAAATGTGTACCTTGAATTCATTTTGGCACCGAGGAACACGCCGGCTAGCTTGTGAAAGGCGCATGATATCGCTGGAAGACAGAGTAGGAGGTAGACCCTGCGCTGATAGCGACCGAACTCGCCCATTCGAAGGATAACGTCGTCATACGCCATTTTTCCGCGAGATTATCCTGCCTTATTCGTATTACGACGATACTTCTCGCGAAAGCTTCAATTAACTTCAATTAACACCTTTATAAGCAGCGGTATTGCTTTATTGACTTTTAATTCACGCACTTCGTGACGACAATCGTTTTAATAATATTCCATCGATTCTGACGTCGTTGTCACGAAAATTTTTTTATCGTCATTTTTTTTTGTTTAAAAAAAAACACTATTAGAATTACGCGCGGTTCACTCGAGTACACAGATATTTCTAGTTTGAGCGTCCGGCACTAGTAAAGACGATCGAACCGCTCGTTAGGCCTCTGAACACTCTGAGTGTGCTTTACATCGACTTCTCGGCAGAACTGTGATAACTGGAAAAAAAAATTAGCATGTGACATTTATATTATTAGTACATGAGTTGAATTAAGTATTAATTAGGTGTTTATTTTTATGTCTTTACTATTTTTTTATGTTTTTATTTTCGACATTTTGCTCCCAGTTTCATCTTATCGAGTATTTTTTAACGAGTATTTTTATTTTAAATTCTTGAATGATTAAACAGTATTTAAAACTGCGACGACCTTGAGGAATTATGCGCATATAAATTCTATGACAAATTAATTATGCATGCTAATAAACTACGTATAATAAATTATGTATGCTAAAATAACATCGTTCATGATATTTCTCTTGCACGCATGTACTGCGTTATGTGAGAGAAAGAGAAAGAAAATGTGTTCGTGTGTAGAATAAACTGTAAAGTTTAATATTGAATTCGATCAAATCTTACGCTCGTGTGCCTTTTAACACACATGAGGCTTATTCAAATTAATGAAGCCCGCGTGGATTATGATTGATACAATTGTCTTCGCACCGAGAGCCAAAAGAAAAAACGGTTAAAAATTATTGATCGACGGATCGTTATTTTATTAGTTCACATTTACTTTTTTCGTTTTTATTTTACTGCTTTATTAACTTTATGCAAAATTTTCTGTATAAAATGATATATAAATCTTGCATCTCATCAAATTTATAAATTTATATAAGATTGTATTATATAATTATCTCATATAAATTAATATGCTACGTGGCATTATAAAGTAATAAATATTTATTTTACTGAAACATTTTTTTACTGAAAAAAAAAATTAAGTTAATATAACGAAAAGTTTTGAATAACGCTGAAAATAAAAATTTTGAAGCGTTTAATTTTATAACGATATAAAATATATCAATTTTTCTTACTTTTGTCATGCAAAATCAGTCGAGCCATGCCAAATCATTTAATTACTACATTAAATATTTACATACCAATTACATACCAATCGCATACCATTGATAATTAATAATCACAACAGTTTAAGACAAACAATATTTCTACAAACAGATAGTGTCTCAAAGTCACCAAAAAAAATAAATGGTTCAAAATAAGTAACACTTCTTCAAGAAGGCAATCCGACGTATGCGACAGATAGACGGGGACTGGCCACATGCTTTGCCGGCGCGGTGTGAGCCGGCTGCGGCACGGCTTGGTTCATTTGAATTCGGCTCGATTCGACTTGATTCGGTTTAACTCGGCTCGTTTTGAGTTGACTTGGCTAGTCACGGCTTGGCCTGTTTCAGCACAGCTCGATTCGGCTTAGTGCGTCCCGCCTCGAATGACTAAATAGTGATTTCTTTTTGTCTTTATGCTTATTTTAGCTAGACAGAAATGGACTTCGATTTATCAAAATTAAACACCATCTCATTCATCCATTATCATTCTTTCTTCTTATCGTTCTTTCGCGGGCAACAATATATTTGATAAAAGAATCCAAAATAAAAAAAAGGGAAGCGCTTCTCTCGCTCCGAGCGCGCACACACAATTGACGATGTTTTGTAATTTCATGCGTGCTGTTGCATATCGCATGCTTGCATCGCTTGCTCGCGATGCTCGTTACAAATTGTCCTGTCTATTCTGTCCTTTCTTTGAATGCGCACTAATGAGCACGAATCAGTCACCGAAGTTAGAGCTATTTCGAACTGTTTTTCCATTTTCTTTCGACTACAATTTCTACGTAACGATTTTAAATAAATCACGCTCCACGCGTTCGTCTTGCGTGACGTAATTTGCAAGTGAGACCTGTCTTGGACGATGCGAGATAAGACTCACTTGTAGGGCGATGGGGCAAGGAAACCAGTGTTAGAACGATACGATCTATTTACAACGCATGCATATCGCTTTTTCGCGACCTTCGATTCCCGTCTCGCGCTCTGCGCGAAATTTCACTATATTATGTTTCACGATCTTATCTTCCCGTCATCGGCATCGCAATTTTTCTAGATGTATATTTATTACACGGCCTTCGCAAAGATGTCTGCGACATTCTAATCAAGGTTGATAATTTATGACGCGTCAAAATAAAATGCGATTAACGTTGAATTGTAAATTTATGGTAAACTAGCTAAAATAGAGGCCGCTTTGTTTAAACGCTAACGAATAGCAAATATACCGCCTTTCTCGATAAGATTATATTATCAAGTAGCGAGAATTCAATAAATATATGTAAGTAAACTTTACTTTACTAATGTGTCACAGCTTTCCTCAAAGCTTTTTAATTCCAATTATGTACATCATTCGTTAAAGTTTTATATATATATATATATCATAATATAATACCACGGTAAACTTCTCCACAAAAAGACGCAGATACATCTGCATGCTATTCTATTACAATTTAGGAAGACAGGCATGGACCGCATTAATCTTATGCACCTCAAATTTATCGCCGCGCGTCACGCCTCGCGCCGAGAAAACGGTCAATCTTTCGTAAGGGATCACTTTTTTTCGTTTAGTAAAAATTTCGATGCAAATTATGTGACCCTATATATCTTCTTCCTTTCTTTTTCTTTTTTAAAAGTCGCGCCCCCATCTCGCGCACTTGTCTATCTAAACATACATCTTTTTTCCCGCGTGTTTATTTATCTTTTTTCGACCACCAATTTACGGCGTAAGAGAGCGGAGTTTTATCAACTGATTATATGCGCGTGACAAAAAAAAGAGACTGTCAGACACATATATATATACATATATTGATATGGTGCCGGTCCAGACGCTGCCACCACCGCCGGTCACATCGGATGCCGGCATCGCAGACCGAGAATGAACCCGAAGGCTATTTATAGTAGGGAGCGGCTTCTAGTTCCCACCGCGTGAAAAATCGCAACTGGTTTCTTGCAAGTGCGAACGGAGGGAAGAAAGGGAGAAAGAATGTCTGCATTTCAGCAGAAGTCGGCGCTACATTAACGCTTTGTACTGATGCTGCCAACAAAGTTTAAAGAACCTGCTGAACGCATCATGATAAATGCGACGGACGCGCATAATTCATAATTCATATAAGCCGCGCATAATTCATAATTGTAAATGAAAGAAACAGTACTGGTGAATTTGAGGAATATTTTTTATCATTATTGTAATAATTATTGGGTAAAGTCCGACGAGCAATAAGTCTGATAAGCGAGTGAATTGGAGAAATAGTTATTATCACTATTATTGCGATTATCATTGTCGCTTTCGTTAATTTTTATTATCTCATCGCGTCAAAATGTAACTTATAATCTATACAGTTTGACATTTACATCCAGCATTCCAAACTGTTGGCGATGCAGCACGAGGTATTACTGGTTGCGTGTACAAGAACGTCTGATAGCGGTTTGCAAGCTTCCACATATTTGCCAAGCGGTTGCAATTTTTTCCAGCAAATTAAAGATACGTCTAATACGTGTGTGTTGTTGCTAGCAAACGTTCAACAGGAAATATTAAAGCCCATCAAGACGGAGATTTGTATAATTGCATATATTTATGCGCGAAAAAATTAGCTATCTAGGTCGGCTTTGCGTAAGATGCAAAAGATGTTTATATATTACATCGCATTCCTCTTATTGGACGCGCGACTGCTTTATTATTTTTTTTTTTTTCATGCGCTTTACGCGGCTATGCAAATCCGTCTGGACGGGCCTCAACAGTCGCAAAGCGGCTTTTATGCCGGTCAATAAAGAGAGATGCGTTCCGTGGGGCAAATGGCGGGGGAAAGATGATACGCGGGAGACGAGGAATCGCGTCGTTGCCCTCCGTCAGTACCTGAACGTGCCGAATCGAGTCAGCGGGAGTCAAATTGCGCCAAGTCAAGGCGAGCCGAAATGGACCAAACTGTCCCTCTGATTCCTTTCTAGAAGAAGACGCGAGACTCGCAAATTAATCTTTATCCCCGCTTTATTTATGATCACTTTGCCTTATTCGCGAGTCTCCTCGCCTCATTTATTAAGATAAATCTAATCCGACGTTATTAATTGCATATACATAACTCTTTGCACTTTTTTTTACGTCTTTTTGCAGACGTACCGCGGCTCATTTATGCGCACCACTATTTTCAATCAATTACGTAATTACGAGAATCAATTTCGGCATTTAAAATTCATTTATAGCAAGCGTAATCAATACAAGTCTAAATCAATCGTCGCTACACGAGTTTCAGAAATAATCAGCCTGGGAAAAATCTGGCACAATAAAATACGCATCTATAAATGATAATTAGTTAAAAATACGCGAGCTGCGCGTTGGAAAACGTTAAAAAGGCTGCTGTCCTTGCAAGGGCCCCGCGCGCCCATACAAACGAAGATATTCGTCCTTATGCGGACTCTCGGTTATTCAATCAAACTAAATAAAGCTACAATGCAATTTCAAAACAAACGGGAGAAAATTTCTCCGTGAACCGAGATATTTTTTTATCTTGAAGCAGAGATACAATAATAATAAAAAAGGCATAATTACGCCGTAATATTCCTCAACTTTTTTACTAATATTCCTTTATCAATTTACTGATAGTTTTATGGTAAAAATCACTTTCTGACAACATCACACATACATGCGTACAAGCTGGATTTTTTTAAAGACTATTGCAAAAGCAACGCTAATCGCAAACACTATGCATTCCGCCACGTCGCGGCGCCGCGCATTACTGCGCTCCGTAAACGGTTCTTACGTAAAGAATAAAATTGCGTGTTATGGCGATTTAAGGTCAAAAAATACTACGTAAATACATCTAGCCAAGTTATATCTGCAAATATTATGTTATTGCCTCACCGCTCACGTTGTATATATTTTTAAGCATCGCGAATTTGCATTTGCTTACGCAGCGTGTAAAACTCGTGATACTATTTTTCAAGGTTCTAGGCGCGAGAAAATTTATTATTTTTCTCTATCTACAAATAGCAACACTTTTTATCGTTTCTCCTATAACCGCCATAAATTATTCCAGCAAATTATACACATGCACGGACACTTCTTTTCTATTATTTCGCCGATCGATTGACGCTGCCGTATATAATTTTCGTTAAGTAGAGCGTTATGAGCCTTTTTAGCCAAACAAAATTCTCGAGGAAAAATTTAATAAAGCACGCAAATTAACACCTGAAAAAATCAAATTGCATTTGACGGCGTCTCACTTTTGTTAAAACAAGCGGCACTATCGTATTTGCTTAACATGGGCGAGTAATTAAGATTGCGTGACGTAAAGATTGCGTGGGAATTTTTTTAGCGACACGAACACGTTCTACAGCGTTCATTCATAAATATTACTGTCTACAAGCTTTTGCCGCAAATTCCGTAGCTATTCTATGTCCGCATAAAAAAAGATAACGTCCTCGTGGTTGTATTATTTTTATGGGTATCATTACACACATAACAGAATATCACGTTACTTGAGCGACTTCCGTCGAGATAAGCGTATGTAATGAATACGCGATGCAATATCACTCTTTTCAGTGATTGACAAACAAGATTTGCCAAATTGACGAGGACGAAGACACACTTTGAGCACAGTTCTTCTTGTCGATTCGCTTTGAAATAACCCCTTGCGATCGAATAGTTCAGCCGAATCGCACGCAGCAATGCAGCCGCGACCGCGCGGCAAACGAATACGACACGCGCGTTACGTGTCGGGCGCGCGACGCTAATGACTCACATTAATCCAAACCAGATGACAGTGACGATAATTTAATTACCGGCTCGATGTGCACGTAATCCACACGAACGGTCTACGGCGATGTCTGCGAATCGACGAGATTCGTATCGTCGGCACTCCGCCGGCCTTTCATACACAGTACACGCTCCGCGACCCGGTGCGACGCCACGCGCTGTGCCGGTCGGCCGCTGGTGGTCGCTCTTGCCGCAGCACTGCCGATCGATAACCTTCGTCGAAGGCAGGAAGGCGACGCGATATGCGGCGCGACAGCACACACCTCGCACACCCGTTCGCACGTACGTTCGCGAGCGTCCACCTTTCTCTGCCATGAAGAATGCGAATTTCGCGGGGGGGGGGGGAAGTGCGTGTGGGAATCACCGGCGGGGGCGATATCAAAACGGACACGTGTGCTGTACGCGCGCGAGGGGGCCGTCGTG